AATGAATTATTCTCTGGCGATTGCCGGCATTAAGAGTCAGACTACGGGTTTACAATTACAAAATTTAATGCGCATGTAAGCAAGAGCTAATGGCCCGCATATGAACGGTGAAAGTCCTCAGGAAATTTCTGCTTCCCGCTCATTCTAGTTACTCTGAGTTAGTAAGGTATCATATTTATCTGAGCTTACGCAAGATCAAAGTATGCTTTAAAATTGAATTTAAAACATGTGGTTCACAAACTGGCATAGAGTATAGTCATAAAGTTTCCGCTCACTAGCTTGACTGATTGACGAAATTGACTTGCGTTACATGTATCTATGAATTATTGAAACACGCTACAATTGGCAAGTGTCAAAGCTCATTTTACGTTTACGCCCCCTTGTATGAAAAAACAGTGCTCTCCTAAAGTTGAAACTTTCTGATCAGCTTACTTTCCGTGTTAGCTTTTTGCCGGCGATTAGGACGTAGGCGTACGCTAAAGCTAAGTTCGAAATTTTGACTCACAGGAGAGCATAGAACATTTTTGTGGAATTTCAACTTCCTATCTTGTCTAATTTCTAAAATTGCCTTCCTGCCAAAAAACTTATATATTCTTTTAGCGTCCATAGGAAAGACCCAGGCATATGCGAGTGATAGTAATAAACGGGGAGGATAGCGCATGCGGTGGTCACATGCTCCGGAAGTCTCAGATCCTAACTTCTCAGATTCTCGAGTCGAAGATAAATGACAAAATGTGAGCACATATGTAAACATACACACGCAGAATCACAGAAAACCTTTTGACAGTATGTGTTTTTGCAACTGCAAAAGTATGCGAAAACGCATAACAACAATCGCTTGCAAAAAAACCCAGGCTGCAACGCACCAGGCTCGCTGTTGTGATCGTGTCTTTTCGCGCTAAACTTGCAGACTGCTAAAGCAGAAATGTTTCTGCGCTGTGGTTTAACATTTGAATCCATATTGGCTGTGTTTTGACCTCTTCCTGCATGCAGGGGGAAAGGGCATCGGCCGGGATGAATGAATTGCATTGTGGGACTGCGTAGACCTCCAGTGTTCATGATTACCGTTTTTTGCATGAAACTCGGTCGTTTTTCCGGTGAGTGCTTGTCCATTGAAAAAGTAGAAATTTGAAGAAAATCGGAAGAGTATTATGAAATCTGCAAAATGCACTCACTTTTGAGTTTCTGATAAAATTGAGATTTTAAAAAGGGGGCGGTAACACGTCGGGTACGAATATGCCCCCCAAATTTCAGCCTTCCAGCTTTCTTGGTTGCTAAATTGAAAGTGGGTGACAAAGTCCACTTGCTTCCAAAAATACATGCAAGCACACGGACGACCTCTAGACAGTATGAGCTCTAGCTCACTACAGCAGCGCTATAGTACTACACAATAAAAACGCATAATTGCGGCAATGAAATTTGCTTATGTCTTGAATTGAGCTTTCCTATCCTGCTTTTTGCGTCTTCTTTAATTGATCAGGGAGCAGATGTGGTCGGCTGAAAATACTTCTTATTAACACACACTGTTTATCACTGCTGCTTTTCAGCAAACACTGCTTATCGCTACTGTTTTTCAGCGTATACAGCAGATCAGTACAGTCTACTAGTATCTGCTGCTCATTAGCATCATTGAACATATTCGGAAAATCAGCATTTCCAAGAGAAAAAAAAAGTAACGGTTTGTGTCATAAGGCCTTATCAGTATTATCAGTGGTATAACTGTTTACTACAAACCTGCATCATTCGCATGAGTCGTTGAAAAAACTTGGGCATTTGTCTCTTAGTGGTTAATGGCCAAGCAATAAGTGGTGCAAAAGTCTGATTCCTGAAATCCGAAAAAAAACAATAAAAAACGGTCTCTTGATAAAAACTCATACTAAATGATGAGCACAGTACCTTAATTCAGTTGGATCACTGGACGCTTTAGGACTTTTTCGCCCATTTCTCTCTTTTGTTGAGAGCATTTTTCCTGACAGTGGCATTTTGAAATCGCGATTTTCTGCTTTCCTTGATACCTGCAGTGGAATAATCCTGAGAATATTTGAAGGCATAATTTTTGAGGGTTTTTTGGGCTCCCAGATCATGTGTGATCATTAGTTTTGAAACCGTTTCAATCGAAATTTTAAATGTTAAAAAGCACTGTCATTTGATTCACAAAAGGTTCAGAAATCAAA